AAAAGAATGACATAAGAATAAGTCCAAATATAAGTGGTTGGCTTCTTAAATTATCTATAACAAAAGATATTGCTGCATCACTTCATTGTGTATTATATATGTGTGTTTGTGTGGCAAGGGTGGTGGGTAGAATTGTGTATATATGCATAACAGGGAAGGTATAAGATGTCAATGAGTCATGTTCAGCCTGAGTATAACAATAGATTCTATGTTATGCATTGTCTCATGTAGAAGTATGAACATTTAACCCACTCAAATATCAGAGAATAATGTAACAGACCATACGATTATGCAACTAATTTATAGATAGCCTTTTGAAAAAAAAAGTAAGAATATTGTCAACGCTAGAATTAATTCTTATAAAAATATTTATGGTAGAAAATATACGGTATTATGCATAAATTAATTATATGAAGAAAATACATATTTTCCTTTAGGTGTCTGCCATTATAAAATTAACTAATAGACTGAAAAAAAAGCTACAAAAGTAAGTGTGTTACTAGGTTCTTAAAATAGTGCATATACATTAAAAGTAGACCGTTGTGGCTGAGTAATATTCCATTGTATATATGTACCACAGCTTTTATCCACTCGTCTATTGATGGACACTGGGTTGCTTCCATAGCTTGGCTATTGTAAATGATGCTGCAATGAACATAAGGGTGCATACAGGGGTGGGCAAAAGTAGGTTAAGTTACCAGCCATCATTACCTAAAAAATAAATCATAAGTAAGGATACAAAATAATAACAATACTACTACTACTACTAAGACAAATAATACAAATAAATAACACAATTAATAAATCAATAAAATACAAAAATAAACTCTGTGTTCCATGTACTCACAACTGTAAATCTACTTTGCCCACCCTTGTATATTATTTTGAATTAGTGTTTTGGGCACAAACTAAATGGAAACAGACTCATAGGTACAGGAAACAGACTGATGGTGGCCAAAGGGGAGGGGGGCTGGGGGACTGGGTGAAAAAGGTGACGGGGTTGAGAAGTGCAGATTGGTAGTTACAGAACAGTCCTGGGGATGTAAAGTACAGCGCAGGGAATTTAGTCAATAATATTGTAATAACTATGTATGGTGCCAGGTGGGTATTGCAAATATCAGGGTGTGGGGGGACACTTTGTAAAGTATATGATTGTCTAACCACAGTGATGTGCACCTGAAACTAACATAAAATCATATTGAATGTAAACTGTGTGTAATTTCAAAAAAATAGGCCCTGGCCGGTTTGGCTCAGCGGTTAGAACGTCAACCCATGGACCAAAGAGTAGAGGGTTCGAGGGTTCGATTCCAGTTGAGGGCATGTACCTCAGTTGCAGTTTGGTCCCTGGCCCTGGTTGGGTTTGTGTGGGAGGCAATCAGTTGATGTGTATCTCTCTTATCTCTCTCTCTCTCTCTCTCTCTCTCTCTCTCTCTCTCTCCCACTCACTCTATCTGAAGATAAATGGAAAAATATCCTCAGGTGAGGATTGAAAAAAAAAATAGGCCATTGTGGTTAGGGGAAGTAACCTATAGTCTATGGCTTGTGAAAAAAATATTTCCAAATTGAAAATGTGAATAGTTTATTAATGTATTATCTTTCTGTGAGGTTTGCATAAGTTTTTTTCTCTTTTTATTCTCCATCCCACTCCAAACTTTTCTGTATCAGTGTGATTAAGTACTAATCTTTGAAAAGCATCTAAACAACCAGATAATTTTAGAAGGAAAGCTGTACTTGAGTCATATTTGTCCAATATCATTAAATCAGAAAAGAGTATTTTCTAAAAGAGTCACAATTGCCTCAAATCAAGGCCAAAATTATTTTACCTTTAGGATTTCACTACAATTAATGTATTTCTTAATTCAGTGAAAAAACAAGCAAAGGCTATGGGTAGGCAAAAAACATATGGAAAGACATTTAATCTTATTACTAATCTAGGAAATACAAATATATAATAATAAAAAGTTAATTTGGTGATGTTCATTAAAAACATGAATAGTCATCACCTCTCTTTATATTATGAGTTACTTTAAAAAAAAAATCCTCACCTGAAGATATGTTTTACTGATTTTAGAGAGAGGGAAAAGCAGGGTGGGGATGAGGTTGAGGGGGGGCAGCGAGAGAGAGAGAGAGAGAGAGAGACACTAAGGTGTGAGAGAAACATCAAACTAGCAACCTAGGTATGTGCCATGACCGGGAATCAAACCAGCAACTCTTGGTGCACTGGATGATGCTCCAACCAACTGAACCACACCAGTCGGGGCAATTTTGTATTACTTTTAATTTCTTATGTGGATTTCAATGTACTATCTGATTTTTTTCAATGTATATCATATTGACAAAATATAAAATTATTTAAAAAGTGCCTCATTGCAAAAACAGTATGGCCAATGGATCAGAAAATAAAATTCAGAAACAAAACCAAGCAATTCAGTTAATATGATAAAGGTGGTATCTCAAATAAGTATAAGACAAAAAGATTATCAAATAAATGGTACTAAGAAAATCAGCTGGCTAATAATATATATATATATATATATATATATATATATATATATATATATATATATAAATCTGGATCCCTAACTCATTGCTTACTACAAAATACTAATTCCTGATGTTACAAAATTTAACATGTATTTTTAACCATTAAAGTACTATAAAATATAAAAGCATTCATTAAAAAAAATCTGTCATTTTAAATAAAAATAAGTTGCAGAACAATATTTATGTCATAACTGCACTGATTTAAATAATTGTTTCCATAATATATGTTTTGAGTAAAATTCTGAAATGAAAGGATACACTCCCAGTAAATTTTATTCAGCATTATATCACCATCCTCTACCACACATGCCTGGCACAAAAATATATCAGCTGAATGACTAAATAAGTGAGCTCATATGCATTCTTGGTTGGACTGTAAATTGAGATCACTTTTCTGTAGAGAAGTTTGGCAATATGTAGCAAAGGAAAAAAATGAGCACACTATTTATTCCAGCACTCCCATTTCTAGGAATTCACCCTATGATTAATTGTCACAAGTGCATATAGTAGGTATGCAGAGCTAATTATTTTAATAAGAGGGGAAAAATGTGTATGTTTGTAGACAGATGGAGTGAGAAGTATCTGCCTTACAACAGGAATCTGGTCAAATAAATTGTGGGACATTTCTATGGAATATGAATCTATTTTAAAATAAGATGTTGATCATTTACCATGCAAATATAGCTGAAGTTAATTAGTAAATGAGCCAATTACAAAATATAATGTGATGTCACATAGATACAACAGCATATCTAAATAGGCTGGTGTGTATATGTACAAATAAATTTCTGGAATAAAATTCATCAAAATGCTAACAATGTTTACCATTTCGTTGCTAAGACTGTACTTTTACTATCATTGAAATTTTCTATATTGTACTTTTTCTCTAAAATGCTTATATACTTTGACAATCAGAAATAAACAATAAAAGCAAATTCATTTACAAAATAGAAAATAAAAGTGTTTCCTAACTTATATATGACTAAATGACAAAGCACAAATCTTATAATAAAAAAAGTAACATAAAGGTTAATGTAACTTTAAAATTTTTACTCATTTGAAATGAATAATTCAACATATTTCATATTTTGATTTACTACTTGTATTCTGTGAGCAGGTTTAGATAGTGAATGTAATTAATTAGGTTATTTTCTACATCAGTATATCAAATCACCTCTGTGGATTTTTCTGCTTCAATAGAAATATCAAAGTATCTTTCAATTAAGTCTTTAAAAGAGACATCCTGTGAATTTTTATTCGTATACAGATAGGTAATTCTTGTCATTCATAAAAATGGGCTAAAATTATGTTCCTTACCTTTCAATGAAAAGTAAACACTGGTCTTTTTGGTTGTACCAAGGGAGTTGTTCTGTAGCAGAAAAGAATCCTGTAAATAAAAATAACACATACCTGTTTTTAAACTTCATTTTGCAAAAGTTTATTCACATATTAATGGATTTGTAAATCACACTGCAGTTTGGCTAGAATTTCACAATGTTAGAAAGAAATTGGTGGCAGATGACATTGTAAAGTATACCCTGACAGAGGATCCACTTTCACTAGCATAGATTCTCCCTCCCATCCTGCTGTTCCTGGAATTGAAAACTGCTGCATAAAAGTACAGAGCAAACAGTCCGCCTTTAAATAATACTACCCAACATTTGAATACCCTTTTCTTTTATCTACAAGGCTGTTGTAGGCATTGAACAGGGCTACGTGGCAAGTCAGCAGCCAGGCTGGGGTATATTATATGCCAGCTGAAAAAGAGAAACATAGTAAAAATGGTGTAACTGACTCACGGCAACATGGGTTCGCAAACCCTGTAGATGGATATAAACCAGGCTTGCCAAACATCACAGACAGCACTTATTAAAACTGCTACGTGGATTGCAATATGCCTGCTTCCTGGCCCCTCCCCCGTTTGCCAATAAACGACTGCCCCTTTATTTTCAGTGTAAAAATACATGCTCATAGAATATTTCGATAAAGATATTTTTTTAAAAAAGCATACATAATCACACTGCCCACTGATGCCATTTGGAGTATTTTCATCCAATTGATTAAAAAAAAGATTTTTGTGAGAGGCCCCTGACAAACCAAACAGGAATTCTGGATGAGCGGACTGGAGGATACTCCTCTTCCCGTGTTGGGAACAATGGCTAGTATTTTTACCACTTATCTAAGCTTTTTTTTTTTTTAATTATAAAACTATAAAGACAGAATTTGGAGGGGAAAAACGTCTTCCAGGGGTGTGTGCCTCAGCTACCGAGAAGCGTCTGGGAAGGTGGGCGGAGTCTGGAGGGGGGGGCGTAGCGTCTGGTCATTCATTGGGCTTAGGGACTGTCAATCAAGTAAGCCCAGCAAATGAGGTGCTAGCAAAAGGAACACTGGGAACTAAATGAACGTGAGGTAGGACTGAAAGGGGAGGGGGCTTGCGATCAAAACAGTGGAGATATCTCGGGGTCTCACACTGCACCATTGAGCTGCGGCCCACCTCTGTCCACCGCTGCGGCCGCCGGGAGAGAGTGTCGCCGCTGCTGTCGCGCAGGCCTCCGCTGACCCTGCTACCTACGCGCGATCGCCGCTGCCCAGATCCACCGGCCCTGCGCTACTGCTGCCCTGGTCGCACCACCTCCTCATCCTGAGCCTCCGCCACCCGAGCATCCGTGAGTCATTTTCTGCCCTCCTCTGGGCGCGCGGTCTCAGCGGTAGTTGCCACCGTAAGAGGTTTGCAGGCTTGCAAAATGGCAGAAGCGGATCTTAGCATGGTCTCGGAACCTGCCGCCCAGGGGGGTGTTGAAGAGATGCTGGCTAGCTCGGCTAGTGATTCCGGAGAAGAGTCTGACAGCAGCAGCGCTAGCAGCAGCACCGGGTGCAGCAGCAGCCGCAGCAGCAGCAGCAGCAGCAGCAGCAGCAGCAGCAGCGGCAGCAGCAGCGGCAGCAGCAGCCGCAGCCGCTTGTATAGAAAGAAGAGGATACCTGAGCCTTTTCGGAGGGCGCGGCGGGCTCCGTCGGGTAAGAATTTCCTGGATCGGCTGCCCCAGGCCGTTCGAAATCGGGTGCAGGCTCTCAGAAATATTCAAGATGAATGTGACAAGGTAGATGCCCTATTCTTAAAGGCAATTCACGGCCTGGAAAGAAAATACGCCGAACTCAATAGGCCTCTATACGATCGGCGATTTCAAATCATAAACGCAGAATATGAACCCACAGAGGAAGAATGTGAATGGAATTCCGAGGATGAGGTGTTCAGCAGTGATGAGGAGGTGCAGGAAGGCAGCCCTAGTGAAATGCCTGCCTTAGAAGGCGAGGAAGAAGATGCTTCTGAAGAAAAACCCCAGGCAAAGACTGAAGAGACTGAGGTTCCTAAAGAAATCCCGGAGGCAAAGGCTGAAGAAAGAGCCACGTCGATAGATCTTCTGGAGATAAAGCCTGAAGTAAAAGAAGAGCCTAAAGAAGTCCCCCAGGCAAAGGCAGAAGATAAAGAGCAGCCTAAAGCAGCAGATACTAAGGCTGCAGGAAAAGACACTCCTAAAAGAGTTCCTGAGGTCAGGCCTAAAGAAAGAGTGAATCTGAAAAGAGCTCGCAAGGGAAAACCTAAGAAAGAAGATCCTAAAGGCATCCCTGACTATTGGCTGAATGTTTTAAAGAATGTTGACAAGCTCGGCCCCTTGATTCAGAAGTATGATGAGCCCATTCTGAAGTTCCTGTCAGATGTGAGCCTGAAGTTCTCAAAACCTGGCCGGCCTATAAGTTACACATTTGATTTTTATTTTCAGCCCAATCCATACTTCACAAATGAGGTGCTGACCAAGACATATATAATCAAGTCAAAGCCAGATCACATAGATCCCTTCTTCTCTTGGGGATGGGAAATCCACGATTGCAAAGGCTGTACGATAGATTGGAGAAGAGGAAGGAATGTTACAGTGACAATCACCCAGAGTCGCACAACTGCCACTGGAGAAATTGAAATTGAGCCAAGAGTGGTTCCTAATGCATCGTTCTTCAATTTCTTTAGCCCTCCTGAGATTCCTAAGATTGGAAAGCTGGAGCCACGAGAAGATGCTATCCTTGATGAGGACTTTGAAATCGGTCAAATTTTACATGATAACGTCATCCTGAAATCAGTCTATTACTATACAGGAGAAGTCAGGGGTGCCTATAAAAATGGTAAAGATTATGGAAAAAGGAAATACCGAAAATAAAGAGGCTGCTGGAAAGAATTTTCAAGATCTCCAAAGTTCAGGAAGAAGTGAAGCAGGTTCATATAGCCTTGAAATAAAGCCTGCTCAATAACCTTGTTACTAGTATTCTTTACAGTCTTGTATTTCTGTATTTTCTTGGTAGTCTAAAAAAGTGTCTCAAAGTGTCTAAGTATCAGTTTACTCTATACACCCTGTTGCAGTGTGATATTCTTCAAAACCTGTAAACTGCTGTCAGTTATTTAAAGCATGTTAATTGGGTGCTCCAGAGTTTTGACTTTTGTGAAGTCCTTTTGTCATGTTCCTATTAGAATGTGTCTGTGAAAACTGTCAGTATTGTTAACTGAGACAAATAATGTGCTTGAAAAAAACAAAGTTCCTGAAGTACCAATGCAAGTGTTTTTCTTTCCCAGCCCAGGAGACTAAGGGTTTAAATTTGCTTGTCCTAGCTGTGCCTTCATTATTTTACTAGAGAAATGCAGTATTTATATTAACTAGAACAGTGTATTGTGAAATGTGACTGCCTGTGAAAAGATTAGCGTACATTTAAGAATGTCCATCCAGACCATCTATGATATGACTATGATTTTATTTATGTGCCAGTGGCCTATACATTTAGTCATAATGGAGTGATTGTTTACCAGTGAGGTGTTAATATGACATAGTATTTTTAAAAGTTTCCTCACCTTATGCTGTGTTATTGTAAAGTTACTAACCACACTTTTTTGGTAATATGTTCTACTTTGCCTTTCACTAAAAACGACCACTTTACATCATTTGATACTTTTCGTGTACTTCTCTTGCAACCTAAAATAAATAAATGTCAAATAAAGTGTGTTATGCTGTAAAAATCTAGCATGTTTTCCTAATTATAAAAAGTGCTTTTTATAGAAAAAGTGGAATATACTGAGGGAAATGGGATTTTAAAAAGATACAACTATTATAACATTCTCCATTTCCCTGGATCTTAGGTCTTCTTTGGAGGATACACTTTCCAGTGGTTAGGGAGAAATGGGGCCTGGGAGGAGCCAAGACAAGAGGAGATGGGATGGGGAGGGGGAAAATGAAGGAAGGTGGAAGAAGAGAAAGTGAAGAGCAAAAGGGGAGAATGAGATGAGTAGAAGAGGAGGAGGGAAAAGTAAGGAAATGGGAGGAAAGTATAAGGAGAAGAGAGTGGGAAGGAGGAGGAAAGGAAGATGGAAAGAGGAAGGAGAAGAGGGTGGGAAGGAGGAGGAAGGGAAGAGGAAGAAGAAGAGGGTGGGAAGGAGGAGGGAGGGAAGAGGAAGGAGAAGAGGGTGGGAAGGAGGAGGGAGAAGAGGGTGGGAAGGAGGAGGAACGGAAAGAAGGGAGAGGAAGGAGAAGAGGGTGGGAAGGAGGAGGAAGGGAAAGAAGGGAGAGGAAGGAGAAGAGGGTGGGAAGGATGAGGGAGGGAAAGAAGGGAGAGGAAGGAGAAGAGGGTGGGAAGGAGGAGGGAGAAGAGGGTGGGAAGGAGGAGGAAGGGAAAGAAGGGAAGATGAAGGAGAAGAGAGGGAAGGAGGAGGGAGGGAAAGAAGGGAAGAGGAAGGAGAAGAGGGTGGGAAGGAGGAGGGAGAGAAGAGGATGGGAAGGAAAAGGGAGGGAAGAAGAAGGAGAAGAGAGTGGGAAGGAGGAGGAAGGGAAAGAAGGGACAAGGAAGGAGAAGAGGGTGGGAAGGAGGAGGGTGGGAAGAGGAAGGTTAAGAGGATGGGAATGAGGAGGGAGGGAAGAAGGAGAAGAGAGTGAGAAGGAGGAGGGAGGGAAGAAGGAGAAGAGGATGGGGAGGAGGAGGAAGGGAAGAGGGTGGAAAGGAGGGGGAAAGAAAAGATGGAAAGAGGAAGGAGGGAAAAAAGGGAAGGGGAGGAAGGGAGAGGGGAGGATGGAAGAGGGGAGGAGGTGAAGAATGGAAAGGATTGGAAGGTGTGGGGATGGGAAGAAGAGGAGGGGAGGGCAGAGGGCAGGAATTCCTCCGCCAGAAAGGACTTCTATGTAAGCTGTTGCTTTCACTTCCAAGAGCGGGATGGGTAAATGACTCATGTTCTGTCCTGGGGAGGAGGTCATACTGCCAGGGGTGGCTTGTTTTTTATAGGTAACATCGTCCTCTCACCTCTTCTGCACAGTGCACTTGTTTACTGTGCAGGTAATTAGATCTTAAGATTTTGATTTGAAATAAGTGTGAGGAGGAGGGCCTATAAACTCAGTTTACCAGAGGTTTTGCACTGGCACAGAGGCACAAGCACAGCAAATATGAAAGTGGTGTCTTATTTCACATTTGCCATTTCTTTTTCCACACACGTTGATTTGCCTTCAAGACCTTACAGGAAAGAGATGTAGTAGGAGGAAGACAGGATTCTGGAATTTCTGGGTCTCTGGGCAATATGATTATAAAATAGTTTTTTCCAAATCCCACCATATGTAGTTTAGTGTTTTGCTTTTATCCCTGCTTAACAATAGCCCCCACTCCATGTCTATAAATGTTAAAAGTATAATAACTCATGGCCAATGACAAATGTTTGGGTATTTCTGTTGTTAGGATTTATACAAAATCGGGAAGCAAATGATTGCTTTTAGCCATACCATTGCAATTTTTGAGAGTACCCGGTTTTATTTCTGAGATTTTTGCATCCATCAAAAACGGGTATGGCAACAGATTTACTTATATGCCAGAGCCAAAACAGAGACTGTAATAAATATAGTGTACCTGGCTCACTGCTACAGAGGTTCTCAACTCACATTTACTGTGCTTGCCTAATGTCACAGACAGCAGAGCCCTTAAAACTTCTAGATGGAATACTACAACATCATCGTTGCATCTTAGAATGCTTTTTAAAAAAACTCTTCACTAGAGGACACTTTTGCATTCATTTTCAGATAGGGAGGGAGGGAGAGAGGGAGGAAGAGAGAGAGAAACACCAACGTGAGAGAGACACATCCAGTGGCTGCCACCCACACGACCCCAACCTGGCCTGGGACAAACTGCAACCGATTTACGTGCCTTCAACGGGAACCGAACCCGGGACTCTCTGGTCCACGCACTCTAACTGCTGAGCCAAACTGGCCAGCGCTAGAATGCTTTCTTAAGTATTTACTGTAGCCCCTTCCCATGTTGTATTTTCCAGGCTTAAAGGAACGAGTTCCATTATAGTATATATCTACAGAAGCAGAAATGCAGAAAATAAAAATCATTCAACAGCACATGTAGTGTAAGATAAGCCCTGTAAGTAGATGGTTGTCTTTTCTCCCAGTCCGTCTCCTGATTAAGTTTTATCACAAGTTCCTGGCTCAGATCAAAAGGTGAATTCAAGTTGAGAGGGGGTAAGAAGACAATTGGAATGACACCTTATTGGCGTGTTTACCTTCTGATTTTAAGCCTGGGGGACTGGGAGCAGGTGCCAAGGATATTTACATCAGTAAAGGTAGGATTCCGGAAAAGCAAGAATCTTTTAGGGGCTAGGACCACCTTGCCCGGTGGAAGTGCATAGAGCCCTGAGACCCGCTGGCCTCGCACAATCATTGGGCTGCAGTTTGACCATCACAACTGCTCAGCCAATGAATGATGTCAGGAGGAGGAGCCGACTGGGAACACAGCTCAGCGCTGGGAGCCGGGGCGTGAAAATAGTTTTGCAGTTTATCCCAGCACCGTCCTGGTGCGCTGTTCCCGCTCTCTTTGATTCAAACTGAGGCCAGCTGCCCTCTTCTCTGTCCACCCTACCGAAGAGGTCATAAGAGGTCGTCCTCTCTTCCCCCTCCGCTGCGGTCTTCGCCACGTCCTCCTTTGTGAGTTCTTTCCCAACCAAGCGTCCGGGACAGTCACTCTAAAAGTTTGCTCTTTTCTATAAAGTGGCAGACTCAGATGACAAGGGACTTCCTAAGCAGCACGAGGTGACGGTAGTTAAGTGTGGAGCTAAGTGAAGAAAGTGACAAAACAGATGGTCAAACGATGTAAATGCCCAATTCTGTGAGGGTCCAGGGATGCTGGTGTCCCTACCCTTAAACAGCATCGCGGACCATGCGATAAGATAGAAGCCTGATTTGAAAAGGAATTGCAGGATCCTGGAAAAAAGTATAACCTCTCACTTGATGAGGTGTTTGCACCCATTGGCCCATGTATTAGGACAACCTGCAGTATAATACATTCAACACACTTTTAAAAAATTTAATTATTTTTGTTACAGATGTTTCTCCTTTTTCCCTGTTCCCCCCACCCCCGCCCAGTATTGTTTTCTATGTCCATTGGTTATGCTTATATGCATACATTCTTTGGTTTATCTCTCCCCTCCCTCACCCCCCTCCTCTGAAGTTTCAGTCTGAACCCTACTTCTATGTCTCTGGGTGAATTTTGTTCAGCAGTTTGTTTAGTTCATTATATTCCACAAATAAGTTAGATCTTGTGATAGTTGTCTTTCTTAGACTGGCTTAATTCGCTTAGCATAATACTCTCCAGGTCCCTCCATGTCGTCTCAAAGGATAAGAGATCCTTCTTTCTTACAGCTGCATAGTACTCCATTGTGTATAAGTACCACAGCTTTTTTATCCACTCATCGACTGATGGACATTTGAACTGTTTCCAGATCTTAGCTATTGTAAATAGTGCTGCTATGAATAAAGGTGCATATATTCTTTCTGACTGGTGTTTCAGGCTTCTTAGAATATAGTCCTAGAAATAGGATCACTGGGTCAAATGGCAGTTCCATTTTCAATTTTGTGAGAAAACACCATCATACACATTACTTCAAAAATTTTTTTGTAGAGTATATTTTTTAAATTTCAATGAAACAATCTAAGTATTAAAACACATAGAATTTGAAGTATATTTTTCTTCAAGAGCTGCAGAACACAGTAAATTCTCTAAATCATCTTTGTTGTGATGTAGTTTATTCCTGATGGTGTCTTTTTGTCGTATAGCGTTTACAGTGTAAGTGGGAAAATTATCAGAACTCTTCACTAAAATTAATATTTACTGGGCGAGGGGGTGTGTACTTGAAGAGCTAATCCAGTCTGTGTTTGGCCTCCAGCTCAGAAGCAGGAGGGTTTAAGTCAACTTGTACCAGGTGTGCCTTATTTATTATGCCATGGTGCATTTTAAAATGTTATCACTTGAATGAAGTAGCATAGAGTTAAAAATTCTCAAGTCCACATTAATATCAAGTTTCCTAGACTGTGTTTTTTAATTTTGCATGACACTAACTTAAAAAGAAAAGGATAAACATGATGAAGCTGTTATTTTCCACTATGGTGCTAATAAAAGTAGTTTTTTTCTCATCTTTTACTCATGGTTTATATAAATTAAGGTGATTAAGTGTATTTTCTTTGCACTACCGCTTCACTGAGTGTGGTCACTTTGTTATTATTTTAATACTTGTCTTCTGATTATAAAATATATTCATTACAGAAGATTTGGAAAATGTACTGAAAAGTATAAAAATGAAACAATTCTAAGTTCAAAGGTAACCACACTGTACATGGAAAATAAATATCTATATCTATCTTTAGTAATATAACTATTATTCTATCCCTTTCACTTCTCATATCTTCCTTCCTTCCTTCCTTCCTTCCTTCCTTCCTTCCTTCCTTCCTTCCTTCCTTTCTTTCTTTTAAATTTCTGTCTTTTTTTTTGGTACATGCCCCTAGCAGAAACTGAACCGGGACTCTCTGGTCTGCAGGCCGATGCTCCAACCGCTGAGCCAAACCAGCCAGGGCTAATTCACTTTTTAAAATATGAATTAAAAATGGACATACCATAATTTATTGCATCAGGTTTTTTTTATGATGGGCAATTAG